TTCTGACTTTACTCTGTAGCTCCCGCTTGTATCCACCCTAACACAGGATTATGGGTTATCCTTAAATTTCTGAAATTTTCAACCTGGCTGCAACAAAATTCCTTCTTCTGAATCAATCTGTTGCATATTGGAACAAGTAGGTCTCCTTACATCTAAAGAATTTGTCCCTTGTGTATACCCACAAACACTTCAGTAACTCTGGACAATACCGATAGCAAAATACTTGCTATTTGCGGTGTGAGTCATCCAGAGGAGCTTGTAGGTTTGAAGTTCACAGGAGAGAGAGAGGGTGGGTGGGGATGTCTGGGGGGGTGAGTGTCGTGGAGTGCCCTCTCTCTCTCCTCTCTCTCTATTCTCTCTCTCCTCTCTCTCTCTCCTCTCTCTCCTCCTCTCTCTCATCCTCTCCTCTTCTCTCCTCTCCCCCCTCCTCTCTCTCTCTCTCCTCTCTCACCCCCTCTCTCCTCTCTCTCTTCCTCCCCCTCTCCTCTCTCCTCTCCTCTCCTCTCCCTCTCCTCCCCTCTCCTCTCCTTTTTTTTTTTTTTTTTTTTTTTTTTTTTTTTTATTTTTTTACACGGGTTTTTGAAAAGGTTTTAAGGGATCCCTAGCTTTATTGACAGCATATTGCAGTTAAGGATTCCAACTTTATTGCAAGCAAGAGCTTTTTTTCCCTACACACTCATTTAAAGCTTTTTTTATTTTTATGAACATACAATGGGGACAGGATGAAGTTGGAGCCACTGTGGGCCAGCATTTTCATTTATAAACTGATTTTACCGTTAAATCATTAGCTGTACAATGTTTTCCCAACTCGAGTTCCGGGGTATGTTGATCTCGATAGTAGTTCGGGAGAAGTACAGCCAATAAGTTGCGTTTCCCCTCCCCGCTTGGGGCATAAAAGCTTGATTCACGCTTCCTCGAAGTGGACCCAATGTGGTATTTTACAATTTTGGGCCCTTTTGTACAAACAGAAAGGGCCCCACCCAATCCCTCCTATGTTGAAGGCTTCTAAATGACAGATCTATCCAGGAGGCCAGGCGAGAGATGAAGCCTTTCCTGTTTCTACTCTGTCCCATCGCAATGAGAGGGGGGCAGGGAAACCAAGAAAGTGAGCAACTCAGGTTTTAGCGTACTTGTGCCTCGTACAGGATCTTGCAAACCCCACTGTCAACAGATCAGATACGGCAAATCCTCTCCTCTCCTCCTCTTCCCCCCCCTCTCTCCCCCTTTTCCCCTCCTCTTCCCCCTCTCCTTTTCTCTTCTCTCTCTCTCTCTCTTCCCCCTCTCTCTCTCTCTCTCACCTCTCTCCCTCTCTTCCCCTCCCCTTTTTTTTTTTTTTTTTTTTTTTTTTTTTTTTTTTTCACAGGGTTTGACAAGGTTAAAGGGGCCCTCTTTATTTTACAGCAATTTTCAGTTAAGGGTTCCTAACTTTATTGCAAACTAAGGCTGTTACCTAATCAGCTCATTTTTAAAGCATTTTTATTGTTATGAGACATACAAGTAGGGGAAAAGGGTAAGTTGAGCCATCTGTGGGCCCCATTTTCATTTTATCAAATGACGTTATCTCGTTGAATCATTTTGCTTTCAATGGTTCTCTCTCCTCTCTCTCTCTCTCTCCCCCTTTTTCCCCCTTCCCCCTCCTCCTTTTCCCTCTCTCTCTCTCTCCCCCTCACCCCCTCTCTTTCCCTCTCTCTCTCCCCTCTCCTCTCTCCCCTCTCCCCCTCCCTCCCCCTCCCTCTCCCCCCTCCCCCCCCTCCCTCTCCTCTCTCTCCCTCTCATTCCCTTTTCTCCCTCTCCTCCTCTCCTCCCCTCTCCCCCTCCTCTCTCTCTTCCCCCTCTCTCCTCCCCCCCTCCTCTCTCTCCCCTCCTCTCTCTCCTCCTCTCTCTCTTCCCCTCTCTCTCCTCCTCTCTCTCTCCCTCTCCCCCTCCCCCTCTCCTACTCTCTCTTCTCCTCTCTCCTCTCCTCCCTCTCCTCTCCCCCTCTCCTCCCTCTCTCTCCCCCCCCTCCCCTCCCTCTCCCCCTCTCTTTTCCCCCTGCCCCTCTCTCTCCCTTTCCCTCTCTCTCCTCCTCTCTCCCCTCCCCCTTTTCTCCCTCTCTCTCTCCTCTCCTCTCCTTTTTCCCCCTCTCTCCTCCCCCTCCCCTCCTCTCTCCCTCCTCTCTTCTCTCTCTCCTTCTCTCCTCTCTCTTTCCCCTCCTCTCTCTCTCCTCCCTCCCCCTCTCTCTCTCTCCTCCTCTCCCTCTCTCCTCCTCTCTCCTCCTCTCTCTCTCTCCCCTCTCTCCTTTCTCTCTCCCCTCTCTCTCCCCCTCCTCTCTTTCTCTCCCCCCTCTCTCTCTCCCTTCCTCTCCCCCTCCTCTCTTCTCCTCCTCTCTTCTCTCTCCTCTCCTCTCCCTCTCTTCCCCTTTTCTCCTCTCTCTCCTCCCCTCTCTCCTCTCCCCCCCCTCTCTCCCTCCCCTCCCCTCTCTCCTCCTCTCTCTCCTCTCCCCTCTCCTCCCCTCTCTCCTCTCTCTCTCTCCTCTCCTCTCCCCTCCCCCCTCTCTCTCTCTCTCCTCTCTCCTCCTCCTCTCTCTCCCCTCTCTCCTCCCTCCTCCCCCTTCTCCTCCTCCCCCTCCCCCTCTCTCCCCTCTCTCCCCTCTCCTCTCTCCCCTCTCCTCTCTCTTCCCCTCCTCCTCTCCCTCTCTCTCTCTCTCCTCTCTCCTTCCTCTCCTCTCTCTCTCCCCCCTCTCTCCTCTCTCTCTCCCTCCCTCTCTCTCTCTCTCCTCTCTCTCCTCTCCCCTCCTCTCTCCCCTCTCCCCTCCTCCTCTCCTCTCCCCCTCTCTCTCCTTCTCCTCCTCTCTCTCTTCTCCTCCTCTCTCCTCCCTCTCTCTCTTCCCCTCTCTTCTCTCTCCTCTCCCCTCTCTCCTCTCTCCTTTTCTCTCTCCTCTCCTCTCTCTCCTCTCCTCTCTTCCCCTCTCCTCTCTCTCTCCTTTTTCTCTCTTCCTTCTCTCCTCTCTCTCTCTCGTCCCCTCCTCTCTCCCTCTCTCTCTCTCTTCCCTTTTGCCCCTCTCTCTCTCCTCTCTCTTCTCTCTCTCTCCCTTTTCTCCCTCTCTTCCCCTTCTCCTCTCCCCCTCCCCCCCTCCCTCTCTCTCTCTCTGTCCTCTCTCTCTCCCTCTCTTCTCTCCTTTTTCTCCCCCCTCTCCCCCTCTCCTCTCTTTTCTCCTCTCTCTCTCCCTCTCCTCTCCTCTCTTCCTCCTCTTCCTCTCTCTCCTCTCCCTCTCTCCCCCTCTCCCTCTTCTCCTCTCTCTCTCCCCTCTCTCCTCTCCCCTTTCCCCCTCTCTCCTCTCTCTCCCTCTCCCCTCCTCTCCCTCTTCTCCCCTCTCTCTTCTCCTCTCTCTCTCTCCTCTCTCCTCTCTCTCTCCTCTCTCTCTCTCCTTTCCCCCTCTTCCCTCTCTCTCTCCCTCCTCTCCCCCTTTCCTCTCTTCTCTTCCCCCTCTCCTCTCTCTCTCCCTCTCTCTCTCCTCTCTCCCCTCTCTCTTCCCTTTTTCCTTCTCTCTCTCCTCTCTCTCCTCTCTCTCCCTTTTTCCTCTCTTCCCCCTCTTCTCTTCCCTCTCCCCCTTCTCTCCTCTCCTCTCTCCTCCTCTCTCTCCCTCTCTCTCTCTCCCTCTCTCTCTCTCCTCTCTCTCTCTCTCTCTCTCTCCCCTCTCTCTCTCTCTTCTCCTCCTCTCTCCTCCCTCTCCCTCTCCCCCCCCCTCCTTTCCTCCTTTCCTCTCTCCCCTTTCCCCCTTTCCTCCCTTTTTTTCTCTTCCCGTTTTTTTCTCCTCCTTCCTCTCCTCCTTCTCCCCTCTTCTCCCCCTCCCTCTCCTTTTTTTTTCCTCCTTTTTTTTGCCCTCTCTCTTTTCCCCCGTTTTTTTCTTCCCCCCCCTTTCCCTTTTTTTTTTCTTATCCCCTTTGCCCCTTTCTTTTTTTTTTTCCTTCCCTTTTTTCTTTTTTCCTTTTCCCCTCTCCTTCTTCTCCCTTTTTCCTTCCTCCCTCTCCCCCCTTTTATAAATTTTTTTAAAAAGAGAAACTTCTGTTTTTCTTTTTGGGCCACTCTGCTCTGTGAGATTCAGCTGGTTTGTTGAAAGAAGATATTCATTGACAAAGACTTTCATGATTCTGTTAGTTTTATTTAAACAAAGTATGTATTACCAGTCTGTGACCATGCTATTAGACCTCACGATGGCCAATAGATTCTGTTCATTTCTGTCAACTTGCTTGAACTTGGTCCGTATGATTTATCGCTCGCCCAAGTAGACATCATCCTAGTGCAAATGAACTCTCTTTCACTTTCAGCTTCCACTGCTCTTGGCACAGTTAAGATAATTAGTATTGAGTGGTTTGTCATTAAGGTATGTCCAAGTTAAATGCAAAAATGAAAGTGCAGTTTGACTTAATGAGGCTGTCTCTCTCGTTCCTGAGCATTAAGTGGAGCTCTTACAGCAAATAAGACAAAAAAGATGATTATTCTCCCAGTGTTTAGATACTACAGTATGTCTAGTTTCACATGAGTGGGAGCTTCATTTGCGGGTTTTCTTCCCTTGGCTTCAGTGAATGGTTCTCAGAACTCGGGTTGCAGTCAGCATAAGCAGTAGTGCACAGAGGAGGAAGTATGCTGTGTGAAAAGTGATAAAAGTCAAATACAATACTGGTGTTTGAGGTATTTTGACAGGTTTGTTATCCATATTCAGTGGGTCATTAAACCTTCCACGTTTTTTTATTGATCATGTCTCTGTGTTTGTCTCTTCAGCTGCAAACCATGTTATATAAGCATTACTTCCTGTAATGATCACTGTAGATACTATATAACCAGACCTTACTCTCGTCTTTCTTTGTAAAGATGGAGAGGGAATGAGTGATAGCAAATATGTTTTCCTTCTTCAGGTCCTCCTACCATTTGAAAAAGATCAACACATCAGGTGTTGATCTTTTTCAAATGGTTAATGTTGGAGCACTTGTGAATTATTTTTTTCTACCTGATTTTTTCAGGATTGCCTCAAAAGTAAAGACAATTTAAATGAAGATGATGCCAAAGATGAAGAAAGGACAAATGACCTAGATGACACAATTGATGCAGACACCACTCTTACTATCATCTCAACCAAGGAATGCAAGGTAAAATGTCGTTTCCTTTGTTCCTAAATTTTTTTGTAACATGTCGGCTGTCTCCCACTGAGGCAAGGTGACCCAAAAACGAAAGAAACACTTTCTCCATCATTCACACATAATCACTGTCTTTGCAGGGGTGCCCAGATATAACAGTTTAGATGTCACTCCAAACAGCCAATATCTCAAACCCCTCCTTTAAAGTGCAGGCATTGTACCTCCCACCTCCAGGACTCAAGCCGGTTAACTGGTTTCCCTGAATCCCTTCACAAAATATTACCCTGCACATACACACACTAACAGTTCATCTCCAAACCATACCCCAGCCGGGATTGAACCCTCAGTCAGAGAGTCTCAAAACTCCAGCCCGTCGCGTTAGCCACTAGACCAGCTAGCCACAATAAGATTCGTCCAATTAGGTATATTTCTACACCATAGGAAGGTTATCACAGGCACCACTGTGACCACAGATGCAGTTGACACTGTTGACGGCAGTGAAGGGACTTGAGCTAGAGTTCGTCACGGCCACGCTAGCTGGAGATTCGTCTGTAAAAACTTGCATCTGTGGTCACAGTGGTGCCTGTGCTAACCTTCCTATGGTGTAGAAATATACCTAGTTGGACGAATCTTATTGTGGCTAGCTGGTCTAGTGGCTAACGCGACGGGCTGGAGTTTTGAGACTCTGACCGCGGGTTCAATCCCAGCCGGGGTATGGTTTGTTTGCAATCGTGTCATTACGATTTCGTGAGTCAGCTCGTCTCCATTCACTCCTATCTAAGGCACTCATACATACCTGCTGCATGTCCAGGCCCCTTGCACACAAAACCTCTTTTACCCCCTCCCTCCATCCTTTCCTAGGATGATCATTACCCCTCCTCTCTTCCACTACAGAGTTATACACCCTCCAAGTAAACCTATTTTGCTCCATCCACTCTAAATGACCAAACCACCTCAATAACCCCTCTTCACCCCTTTGAATAATACTTATTGTAACTCTACACTCCTAATTTCTACACTATGAATTCTCTTCATAATATTTACACCATACATTGCCCTTAGACATGACATCTCCACTGCCTCCAGCCTCCTCCTCTGCTGTAGCATTCACAACCCATGCTTCACACCCACATAAGTATTGGTACCACTATACTCTCAAACATTCTCTTATTTGCCTCCATGGATAATGTTTTTTTTGTCTCCACAGATACCTCAATGCACCACTCACCTTTTTTTTCCTTCATCATTTCTATGGCTAACCTCATCCTTCATAAACCCATTTGCTGACAAATCTACATCAAATATCTGAATACATTCTTCCATACTCCCTCCCTCCAATGTGATATACAATTTTTCTTTTCCTAACTCGTTTGTTACTCTCTTCACCTTACTCTTATCTACGTTCACTTTCAGCTTTCTTTCTTTACACACCCTCCCAAGCTCGTCCACTTATTTTTGCAACTTCTCTTTAGAAATTGCAAAGGTTAGAGTCTCCCAAAAGTACAGTATCATCAGCAAAAAGTAACTATGGCAACTCCCATTTTGTATTTGATTCCCCATAATTTAATCCAAACCCTTTCCCCAACACCATACCATTTACTTCTTTTGCAACTCCATCTATAAATATATTAAACAATGTTGGTGACATTACACATCACTGTCTAAGGCCTACTTCTACTGGAAAGTAATCTCCCTCTCTCCTACACATCCTAACTTGAGCCTCACTATCCTTTACAGCATTTAGTATCTTACTACCTATTCCATACACTTGCAACATCTGCCACATTGCTTCTCTATCCACCTTGTCATATGCCTTTTCTAAATCCATAAATGCAATGAAAACATCCCTGCCTTTATTTAAATGTTGTTCATTTATATGCTTCAATGTAAACACTTGATCTACACATCCTCTACCCATTCTAAAGCCTCCTTGTTCATCTGGAGTCCTTCTCTCTGTCTTACCTTTAATTCTTTCAATAATAACCCTACCATGCACTTTACCTGGAGTAAACTTCTTTCCCTATAATTTTTAAGATTTTTTTGCCTCCATTTCCCTAATATAAAGAAATTATGCACTCTTCTAATCCATAGGTACCTTCCCCTCTTTCATACATTTACTGAACAAAATTACCAACCAATCCAATACTATATCCCCCCTTTTTAAAATTTCTGCCATGATCCCATCAGTTCCAGCTGCTTTACTCCCTTTCATTCTACCTAATGCCTCACACACTTCCCCCACACTCACATCTGGCTCTTCTTCAATCCTAAAAGACGTTATACCTCCTTGGCCGGTGCATGAAATTACTGCATCACTCTCTTCATCAGCATTTAACAGTTCTTCAAAATATTCCTGCTATCTTCCCACTGAAGATGAATAGTTCAGAGAACTGACAAGTTGATAAATTAGACACATGTGCAACACTTGGGTATCTTTAATGAGGAAACGTTTCGCCACACAGTGGCTTCATCAGTCCATACAAAGGAGAATGGTGAAGAACAGGAGTAGTTTGAGGTAATCGGTCCCTCAGCCTTGAGTCAAAGTAATCAGTCCATCAATCTTGAAAAGATTGCAACATATGTGTGAAGAAGTGACTTACATACTGTATGCAGGAGAGGTGCAGCAGTCGTAGGTGGTATCACATTTGACCAATGTGGAAGTAGGTCATGTCCAAGGGTTAGGCAAGTGAAGAATTCCCTGTATTAAGATCCCAAGATTTTGCTGTGGCAGACAGGAATGTAGATGAATGGTTCAGAGAACAGACAAGTTGATAAATTAGACACATGCGCAACACTTGGGTATCTTTAATGAGGAAATGTTGTGCCACGCAGTGGCTTCATCAGTCCATACAAAGGAGATTGATGGACTGATTACACTGACTCAAGGCTGGGGGACTGATTACCTCAAACTACTCCTGTTCTTCACCTTTCTCCTTTGTATGGACTGACAAAGCCCCTGTGTAGTGAAACGTTTCCTCATTAGGGATACCCAAGTGTTGCACATGTGTCTAATTTATTATCTTCCCAATACCTCTAACTCCCCCTTTACTAACTCCTCTGTTCTGTTTTTAACTGACAAATCCATTCATTCCTTAGGCTTTCTTAACCTAAAATGTATACATAAATAATTAGTATTTTGACCTACCAGACACTAATGTTTGATTGAGCAGAATATACAGTGTCGCTGCTTAACCCTTTGAGGGTTTTCGTCGTACTAGTACGTTTTACGCGTAGGGGTTTTTGACGTACTAGTACTCATAAATTCTAGCGGCCTCAAATCTAGTGGGAGAAAGCTGGTAGGCCTTCATATGAAAGAATGGGTCTATGTGGTCAGTGTGCACAGTCTAAAAAAAATCCTGCAGCACACAGTGCATAATGAGAAAAAAAAAACTTTGACCATTTTTTTTGAATAAATCAGCGACTTTGCAGTGTATTTTCATATGGTATTTATTGTTGTATTCTAGTTTTCTTGGTCTCATTTTATAGAATGGAAGACATATTACAGAAATTGAGATGATTTTGACTGGTTTTACAAAGAAAGGTGCCTTGAAATTGAGCTCAAAGTAGCAGAAATGTTCGATTTTTACCAAACTTCAAAAGTAAACAAATCGTGCCAAGCGTGCAATACACGTCAACTGGTGAGTCTAATATTCTTTCACAAGTGCACCAATAATATTTATACCATTTTTTACACTAATGCAGTAGTCTGCATAACAGTAAATCTTATATTTTTTGTGAAAATAAAAATTCAAAGTGGAAAGCAAAAGAATATAAGATGGGACTTGAGACATGACTAATGACTAGAGGAAATGTCATTTTAGTGCCAGGAATGTCTTTCTTGTTTATTCTGGACCCTATTCCGAAATTGGCATCTTTTGAAATTTGTGTGAAATTGGCAAAATTGCTAAATTCTGACCACTGTACTGGATAGTTGAATTTCATAAATGAGTGGTTTCTTGCATCCATTCGATAGAAAAAATGGAGTTCTAGCGAAATATTCATGTTTTTTGTCGACTAGTACAGTGAAATTGGCCGAAAATGGGGCGCAAAGTGGGCAAAATCGCCGATGCGTAAACATCGCCGAGACCGCGAACTTTGCGAGAGCATAATTCCGTAAGTTTTCTATCAAATTTCAAACTTTTGGTGTCTTTATGATCGGGAAAAGATTCTCTATCTTTTCATAAGAGAAAATAATTTTTTTTAAATTTGGCCGACCCTGAGAACGAGTTTCGGAGAGGGCCTGTCGACCCTCAAAGGGTTAAAATTGTTTATGAAAGTACAGTAAGAGGTGTCCTTAATGTTGATGGATAAATTGATTTACATATAATAAATGATGCCTATGGGAGGATAGTCAAGAGTAGTTAATGTGTGCACCAATAATCATTTTGTGTAATAATTAAATGTGATTGCTTAAATAATGGCTTCATTACATAGTTGTTATCTATGTTACAGTAGTATCAAAAGTTCCATTAACAAAAAAGACATAGAGGATTAAAATACTTGGTTCATCAGAACTGTTGAATAAATGTAAATTAAACTTTCTGAAATTTTGTTTATTACAGGACTCTAATGTTAATGGCACTTTAGAGGATAAAGATGAGGAGAAGGAAGTGGAGGTAGCCCAAGAATCAATATTACGCACTGACATCTTAAGACTTCAAGGTTTGTATGATGTATTTTTATTTCCTGTACTAAGAAAATGTTTAGCATTTGTCTATGGTAAATGGCTGGGAAATTTAAATATGCAATAGTTTAATTCAGTTTCTGTATTTGTAAATTTATTTCTTCAAGAGGATATTTGGAATAAGACAACTGCTACTTGGCAGAATTAGGGCATTAGTATACGTTTTACAAGATGTACAACCTATGGAAAGACTAAGATGTTTACCTGTGTAACTATTTCTTACTCAAATTGTTATTTTGGGAAATTCTAAGAGCAGTTACAGTGGACCCCTGAATTTCGTGAGTCTCAAGTTTCGTGAGTTTCGAGTATCGGCAACTTTTTTCGTCAAAATATAGCTTCAAGTTTTGTGATTTGCCTCAAAATTCGGCAGTTGTACGGAACATGTCCAAGCGGCCTCCCAGCAGCCGTGCGCACACAAAGGCTCCCACGCACCATTCAGGGTCAGTGTGGCATTGTTTCTGGACGAGTGACCATCACCCCAAGCATTCATACGATACATTTTGTAATCCATTATTTTTTGTGCTTGCAACTGCTAAATAAGCCACCATGGGCCCAAAGAAAGCTTCTAGTACCAGCCCTTTGGTAAAGAAGGTAAGAAACACGATAGAATTAAAGAAAAAGTTTGTAGAAAAATATGAAAGTGGTGTTGGTAGAGGGTGAAAGTGGTAGAGGGTGGTGATGGTTGTGATGGTGGTAGATGGTGGTAGTGATGATGGTAGAAGGTGGTAGCAGTTGTGATGGAGGTAGAGGGTGGTAGTGATCGTGGTAGGGGGTTGTAGTGCTAGTGATGGAGGTAGAGAGTGGTAGTGGTAGTGATGGTGGTAGAGAGTGGTAGTGGTAGAGGTTGGTAGTGATGGTGGTAGTGATAGTGGTAGAGGGTGGTAGTGATGGTGGTAGTGGGGTGGTAGTGGTAGAGGGTGGTAGTCATGATAGTAGTGGGGTGGTAGTGGTAATGATGGTGGTAGAGGGTGGTAGTGATTGGACAGTTTTTTGTGTGACTGGGGTCCAGTGGCTCTCAAACTGGTCTTAGTGCCATTGAAAAACAAAGAAGGGAAGTAACCCCGGATAAGGACTTGGCACCTAAAGTCTTTATGGAAGGAGATTCCCTTCCAAACAATAGTGTAACTTCAACATCCTCTCCCCTCCTTCCGTCTTCCATACACCAACAAGTCTTCAGTAAAGGTAAGTGTGATGTTGTTATTGTTTTATACTTGATTTCTCATTCTTTTCTGTATTTTTTTTTTTTTTTTTTTTTCAACAAGTCGGCCGTCTCCCACCGAGGCAGGGTGACCCAAAAAAGAAAGAAAATCCCCAAAAAGAAAATACTTTCATCATCATTCAACACTTTCACCACACTCGCACATTATCACTGTTTTTGCAGAGGTGCTCAGAATACAACAGTCTAGAAGCATAAACATATAAAGATACACAACATATCCCTCCAAACTGCCAATATCCCAAACCCCTCCTTTAAAGTGCAGGCATTGTACTTCCCATTTCCAGGGCTCAAGTCCGACTATATGAAAATAACCGGTTTCCCTGAATCCCTTCACTAAATATTACCTGCTCACACTCCAACAGATCGTCAGGTCCCAAGTACCATTCGTCTCCATTCACTCTATCTAACACGCTCACGCACGCTTGCTGGAAGTCCAAGCCCCTTACCCACAAAACCTCCTTTACCCCTCTCTCCAACCCTTTCGAGGACGACCCCTACCCCGCCTTCCTTCCCCTATAGATTTATATGCTTTCCATGTCATTCTACTGTGATCCATTCTCTCTAAATGACCAAACCACCTCAACAACCCCTCTTCTGCCCTCTGACTAATACTTTTATTAACTCCACACCTTCTCTAATTTCCACACTCCGAATTTTCTGCATAATATTTACACCACACATTGCCCTTAAACAGGACATCTCCGCTCCCTCCAACCGTCTCCTCGCTGCTGCATTTACCCCCCAAGCTTCACACCCATAAAGAGTGTTGGTACTACTATACTTTCATACATTCCCTTCTTTGCCTCCATAGATAACGTTTTTTGACTCCACATATACCTCAACGCACCACTCACCTTTTTTCCCTCATCAATTCTATGATTAACCTCATCCTTCATAAATCCATCCGCCGACACGTCAACTCCCAAGTATCTGAAAACATTCACTTCTTCCATACTCCTCCTCCCCAATTTGATATCCAATTTTTCTTTATCTAAATCATTTGACACCCTCATCACCTTACTCTTTTCTATGTTCACTTTCAACTTTCTACCTTTACACACATTCCCAAACTCATCACTAACCTTTGCAATTTTTCTTTAGAATCTCCCATAAGCACAGTATCATCAGCAAAAAGTAACTGTGTCAATTCCCATTTTGAATTTGATTCCCATAATTTAATCCCACCCCTCTCCCAAACACCCTAGCATTTACTTCCTTTACAACCCCATCTATAAATATATTAAACAACCATGGTGACATTACACATCCCTGTCTAAGACCTACTTTTACCGGGAAGTAGTCTCCCTCTCTTCTACACACCCTAACCTGAGCCTCACTATCCTCATAAAAACTCTTTACAGCATTTAATAACTTACCACCTATTCCATATACTTGCAACATCTGCCACATTGCTCCTCTATCCACTCTATCATATGCCTTTTCTAAATCCATAAATGCAATAAAAACTTCCCTATCTTTATCTAAATACTGTTCACATATATGCTTCAATGTAAACACCTGATCTACACATCCCCTACCCACTCTAAAACCTCCTTGCTCATCCGCAATCCTACATTCTGTCTTACCTCTAATTCTTTCAATTATAACCTACCGTACACTTTTCCTGGTATACTCAGTAAGCTTATTCCTCTATAATTTTTACAGTCTCTTTTGTCCCCTTTCCCTTTATATAAAGGGACTATACATGCTCTCTGCCAATCCCTAGGTACCTTCCCCTCTTTCATACATTTATTAAACAAAAGTACCAACCACTCCAACACTATATCCCCCCTGCTTTTAACATTTCTGTCATGATCCCATCAGTTCCAGCTGCTTTACCCCCTTTCATTTTACGTAATGCCTCACGTACCTCCCCCACACTTACATTCTGCTCTTCTTCACTCCTAAAAGATGGTATACCTCCCTGACCAGTGCATGAAATTACTGCCTCTGTTTCTTCCTTAACATTTAAAAGTTCCTCAAAATATTCTCGCCATCTACCCAATACCTCCATCTCCCCATCTACTAACTCCCCTACTCTGTTTTTAACTGACAAATCTTTTCTGTATGTTAATCTATATTTAATCTATAAAAAAAAATAATTTTTGTTAATACTTTCGGGTGTCTAGAGCGGATAACTTGGATTAACAGTGGACCCTCGGTTAACGATGCTATTGGACAGCGACAAAATAGTATACCGATGCATTTTTGCATCAAAATATTGGCTCGGCTAACGATGAAAAACTTAGTTAAGGACATACGTCCCGAACATGTCTGCGCAGCCTGAGCCCATGTAAAGCCAGTGTGCCATTGTTTACAAGCCAAGGAGGATGATTCCATGCGTACATGTGATATATTTTGTAATATTCCATTGTTTTTAGTGCTTGTAACTTCTAAATAAGCCACCATGGGCCCAAAGAAAGTTTCTAGTGCCAGCTCTGTGATAAAGAAGGAAAGAAACACAATAAAATTCAAGAAAAAACTCATAGGAAAGTACCAAAGTGGAGGAGGAAGAGAGAGAGGAGAATGTGCCTTCTGCAGTGATTCAGTGATTCTACAATATGTACAATACTAAAGCAGCAGGCATCGATAAAGGTTATAGTGCCAGCCAGTGATAAAGTGTAGAATTAACAGTGTAGCAAGTAAGTTAAGCGAGTAAGCGATAGAAAAATGACACAAAAGTAACTCTCCAATGTTGTTGGATGTGTATCGGGCCAATGAACATACGCCGGCCTGCTACGTATCTTCCACCACCCTAAACCTCTGCCAGCATCTCCTCCATCAAATTAACTAATTAAACTAACATCTCCTCCAAGGTAAGTGTAAATATAAAATTGTAAGTATGAAAGTAAATATAAGTGTAAATATGGTAGTTTGTTGGTAGACAGCAACCACCCAGGGAGGTACTACCGTCCTGCCAGATTACTGTGAAACAGAAACCTGTAACTGTTTTACATGATGGTAGGATTGCTGGTGTCTTTTTTCTGTCTCACAAACATGCTGGATAACAGGTATATCTTGCTACTTCTACTTACACTTAGGTCACACAACACATGCATATATATACATACACAAATCAAGGGTTTTTCCTCTTTTTCTTAATAGCTCTTGTTCATGTTTTTTTTTTTCTCTATTGTCCATGGGGAAGTGGAAAAGAATCTTTCCTCCGTAAGCCATGCATGTCGTATGAGGCGACTAAAATGCCGGGAGCAGTGGGCAAGTATCCCCTTCTCCCGTATAAATTACTAAGTTTAAAAAGAGAAACTTTTGTTGTTCTTTTTTGGGCCACCCTGCCTTGGTGGGATACGGCTGGTTTGTTGAAAAAAAAAAAAGTGTAAATATGGTAGTAGGTTGGTAGACAGCAACCACCCAGGGAGGTACTACTGCCCTGCCAGATGACTCTGAAACAGAAATCTGTAACTGTTTTACATTGTGATAAGATTGCTGGTGTCTTTTTTCTGTCTCACAAACACACTGGACAACGGGTATATCTTGCTACTTCTACTTTGGTCACACTACACATACATATATATACACACACAAATCTAGGGTTTTTCTTCTTTTTCTTAATAGGTCTTGTTCTTGTTTTTTTTTCTCTATTGTCCATGGGGAAGTGGAAAAGAATCTTTCCTCCGTAAGCCATGCATGTTGTATGAGGCGACTAAAATGCTGGGAGCAATGGGCTAGTAACCCCTTCTCCTGTACACACTTACTAAAAATGGGAAGAAGAAAAACTATGAAACTGGGATGCTTGAATAT